ATACAAAATATACAATTTTAAGGAATCGTTGTCACTTAGGGTTGCAATTAGAAATACTCCTAGACAGGCCTAATGATTTTTAAACTGGTGCAGCAATGGATTTCGCATGAATTGTAAAACTGGAAGTATTATTATTATCATGTGATACTATGCGTCTGCAAATATCCTGCTTGACAACAATCGTAATCAGATTCAATTACCAAAGAAAATCGTTTCTTCAGCGACGGTCACATAGGTTCGTACGAACGATGCGTTCGTACGAATCTCCCTGTTTTTCCATTGTTTTTCGGAATTTCCATTATCTGAAACTCGTTCGTACGGCGTTCGTAGCAGTTCGTAATGGCATTTGTGACCGGTGCTTAAAGGTAAAGACCAGCATTGGAAACGCCCCAATTTCAAAAAATGAAATGGAAGCTCTTATTACCAATCATGTGAAAGAGTATGTTTTGACTAATACATGATGATAACAATTTTGCCGGGAAACCGCCTACTAATTGATATATTTGGTAAATTAGTTTATCTATTGGTGTGTGAGAGATAAACGCACGTGTGCGTAGTCCCATATACATCTTTCTCTGTACAGTGCTTGTGACTTTACGAAGACTGGGCCAAATTTCTTATCATTTTGATGATTCCAGAACCTTACAGTACACACCAATATTTATATGCTAGATGATCAACCTTTTTTGATCGATTCCACAACGTTTCTTTCACAATGCAATCGCATGACCATAACTGGTATTTATCTTTAAAGTTATTTAAAAATAGGTGTTTAGCCCCCCAATGACAAATGCTTTTCATTTATCTATTTATCACTAATTTTCTTTTTAAAAGCCAAAGTCAAGTTGTCATCACTATTAGGGACTTTTAGTTTTGCACAACGACAACGTGGATTGCTACGACCGACGTCCTTATAATGCACTGCCTTGAATGGACGTCACACGTTAAGTCCACGCAAATCTAAAAGGCCCTATTCTTAAAAATAGTGCCCTTTTAGCATTAATTTTTAAATAATCGAGTCCCGATCGACTTATGAACAGAAACAATGATTACTTTCGGTAAGTGTTACTTTCACCCATAATTCATCCAGTTTGTTATAATGGAAAAATATTTCATATTCTTGACATAAGCACAAAGAGAAGAGAGGATAGTAACCCGAAACAAATAACGAGTATACATGTACGCCCGCATGTACAGCTCCAGCAATCCAACACAACTGCTAAATGTAATGCTAGATTCTGTCTCTAGTCGTTTGCACAGTATATTTGACTGAAGTGGCTAAACAGTTGTGTAAAAAATTATGCGCTAACGGGCCATAATAATGTTGGGGTCACTCGGTGGATGTCATACCTTTATTTTCACACTTTATGCTTAAGTCTTATTTTTAAATATCATACATTGTACATTAGTGGTTTCCACGGTAGGAATATCCTTGTATCTTTGTGTATTCCGTATAACTTGTCAAGAAACCGACTGGAGTTTTAAGCACATTGTTTTAAGTGTAGCCAAATCATTGTATTTATCAGCGATCAAATGATAATATTGACGACAATTATAAATATGAATCGTCACGATTACCCGATCACGAAATGATGACGTATACAAGATCACGTGATTCGCGGTTCGAATCCCACCGTGGTACTAATGTACTTTGTCTAGACATTTACATGTAGTTGCATTTGCTACTCTCCACTCGGGTAAAGTTAAAGGGAACCAAAACCTTCATACTAAGTTACTTTTATTGTAAAGTTTAAAAGATTTCAGTGAAATCAGTGAAAATTTGAACAAATCGGGCAAGGAATAAGGAAGTTAGAGCTTTTTGAAATGACTAGTCACTAAAGGGCGGTATTCAATTTGATGACAACATCTGTGGACAACTCTTCATGCCTTTTGTTCATAAAATTTCACCATTTTTTCGTTTTCTTCGTATTTATTTTTGTTTTTGATCCGACATCATAACATGTGAATTAGAATATAATTTTGCATTCTATATCTTGCTTTCAGGGGAGTAGATTATCTCAATCACAAGAAAGAAGGAAAAACATGAAATTTGATGTACAAAAGGCATGGAGAGTTGTCCACAGATGTCATCACATTGATTACCGCCCTCTAGTGACTAGTCATTTTAAAAAGCTCTAACTTCCTTATTCTTTGCCCGATTTTGTTCAAATTTTCACTGATATTTTTCAAATATCTTAAACTCTACAATAAAAGTAACTTAGTATGAAGGTTTTGGTTCCCTTTAATGGGTACCCGGTGGGAAGAGATTCGTAGACTGTTTTACCGCCTTATCATGGCGACGATATTACAGCCGGTAGTAATAATATGGTACTCTGTATTGAGCACAGTAGGTATGTTATGTCTGTGTTGCAGCCACGCTTTATAAATGAACATGATATGAACACATGATTATGATTACACGACCACATGTAACCTGTAACCATGGTTACGCAATTACAAGATCACATGATAATCATAATCACATGATTAACATGATTACATGTAAACATGGTAATCATGACCACGTGATGAACGTACACTATGACTATGACGGACAAAATATACAATTCCTCAGGTAGACAAAGGAACATACCTTCACTGCTATTATGTAAAAAGTAAATAGGCATGTGACACCTGTTCTACACATTTTTACATAATAGCAGTGAAGGGATGTTCCTTTGTCTACCTAAGAAACTGTATATTTTGTCCGCTTTCTTTGTCAGTCATGTTCATAGTGGTAATTACATGATTACATGTTGTTAATCCTGACTGCATTAATTACATTTTGTTACATTCTGAATGTAATTGTCAATTATATTATAGACTAAAATCATAATGCATTCAAAAGCAATGTTTTCTTTCTGACATGATGGCTATATTTTTGTTTGGTTTGATTTTATTTACAAACAACAATTCAGCAATTTGAGCTCACCATGTTATACAATGATACTTACATACACACGAACAGAAACTTTTTGTTTGTAAAAGGGGCCAGATTATAGCACAGTCGAGCCTAACCACTACAGACCTTACAGCTACACAAAGTATATGTTACAAGTGAATTTCAGAAAACAAAACAAAACAAGATAATGAAATTACTATTACAATCGACACTTTAAGGCCCCACTGCACTAGTTTGGCCAGGAGAGATTAGACCTCCCTGCATGGTCACTGACAGGTGGTTATCATCAAATCAGCTCTCAAGTAACATAAAAAAAGGGGATCATTGGGGACCAATGGTCCCCGATTAGGAATTGATTGCTATATAGAGGGCGCAGTAGCTATAAGAAGTGCAGTGGGGCTTTAACAAATACTTAACAATGTCTAACAATATACAACCTTATAAAAAATGAAATATAATTCTTGTATATATAAACACTATTTACAAAGAGTTTCATTCATGATTTGATCAACAAATGTTAATGAACTCCCAAAACCTATTTCTAGACCTTGGCAATCTGACATTAATAGGTAACCTACTCCAAAATTCACTGCCTACAAAAGGCAATGAAAATGAATGTCGTTTTCAATTTTGGAAGACGTAATTCTCCACATGTTGACTTCATTTGGACAACAGTATGACTAGACACAGTTATGTTTATTTCAGCTCTGTGTAAATATATAAAGACCCAATATATAAGGCAGTGCATGTTATTGTAATGTTTGCTCATTTCGAAAAGTGAGGCTCAGGGATATTAAATTTGATTTTAATAATTTTTGTTATTGGTAGCGAAGGATACAATGTTGTATCATGACTGAGTAATATTTCTTAATAATCTATCGTTTACGTTCATGACTGAGTGAAATTATGAAAATAATATCATTAGAATCTTAGTTATTTCAATATATTTTAATACAGAAACGAAGTACAAGCCCCATTTATAACAATCACCACTTAATATGAATAGAATATTAAAGTAGTACTGAATAAACAATATACGATGATAACATTGATTTTGATGATGATAACATTGATTTTGATGATGATAATATTGATATTTGAAATAATTATAATAATAACAACAAGTTTAATAATAACAACGAATACCCTTACTGCTATTACATTATTTCATTAAATCAGTTTAAGAGCATTTTCAATACACCATGGTAGTATTGCCTATGTACACGTTAATTATTTCCAAATTACTCAATACGTCATTGTAATGTTCACACGCTTCCAGAAGTAAAGTTGAACGGGTTATATGCGACACGTGGGATTTCAGGGTAGCGCGCCGATCCTAAAGTAGAAAAGTCAAGTTTGGCTAAGATATGCCTCCATTAAATTTGAGACCAGTAGAAACCTAAAAAACTTAAACAAATTCCTTTTCAAAGGCAGGATGATTCACTGATACTGCTACCACTGCTGTAATGTATTTTAAATTGCGTACATAGAGCGACTTCCGGTTCCTGTACCCAAGTATCATCATGCACGCGTCATGCAGTTGGTGATGCATTGTGGGACACGGCTGTCGACACGCCGGGACATTGTGAGCACTAGATTCAATTCAATTCAATTATTTAATTCATCCAAATTTACAAGAATATATGGAAATATGTTTTGGTCACACATTGTAAAATTCACTTCAATTTATTCAGCCAATCATTAAAAACAATTTACCATCACACTGGTACTGGTACTGACCCCTGAGAAGCAAAGCTTGTAAATGGGGCCCATTAACATGAAAGAATAGAAGGTAGGAGCCGGCGCCATTACTAACATTAAAGCTACAGCTTTTTCCTACAATACTACACATAATCCTTGATATCATGTTATCGTTAATAATAATTCATTGTGTAAATAATCTCGAATCAGCTGCATCCAGTGATGTAACAAATCGAACCACATGCTTTAATCCCGCCTATCATTTAGTGTGCAAGCACAAACCCTCGTGCGTATTAGTGTCTGCTCACTAAAGCCTACGTACTTAAGAGACACAGCCACATGTTACCAATCAACATCTTGCTGCGTTTTCTTTTAAACACCCCGTATTAACAAATTCAACTTAATGTTAGTTCAACATACAAAGGGTAGAAAGGTTGATAATAAAGCTTATATTTATACCGTGAACAGTAAGCGATAAAAAAATTTTAAAAAACGTAGCAAAAGTCACACAGAGCAAAGTGACAGCATGAGGATAGATAAGCACATTGGCGTATCCAGTAATGATGGGGACATCCCAACCAGAGAGAAATGTGGAATAGAATGGAAACCCAACATGAGGAAGACATAGGACTGACGGCAAGAAGAAGTATTCCTTTGTGTGTCGAAGAACCTAAACAGCTTAGGAGGGGGGTGGGCTCTGCTAGCCCAATTCTACCCTGAATGAGCTACTGAGTGAATGTAAAGGTCACTTCCCCCCCTCAACCCCAAATATACAAAATGGCAAAATCTCCATGTCTGGTTTACAGAATCGTTTCGAATTAGGTATCAAGAGATCAATGGTAGACTTTATACTCGCAATTCCTTTTGGGGGACCTCATTCAAGTCGGACTCTTTTGCCTGGTTACCACTGGATGCTCGATGTTCATCTACCGTCTGCCGATAGGACAGACCCTTGACTTCGGCATCATGGCGATCCACCTCATCACTATTAAATCTAGAGTCCATCTCTAGCCCATCGTTGAACTCGTGCGCCAATGAAGGGTTGATGCCCCCTGAAGGCAGGTGTAGTCCTGCTCCCAAAGTGCCTTCCTGATAACTCAGATGAATAAAGAAGGGTGGTTTTATAATATCATGACATAAAGTATATATCAGCTTTACAAATATGTATCTTCTCAGACATAGCTCAGTGAATACAGCTGTGTACATTTGACATTCATTTACACGTTTGGAGAAGAAAAAAATAAAAAATAAAAAACGGGCGTTTTTTTTCAGGTGGTTATACGTCAAATCAGAACGAGCCTTTAGAAGCGTATCAACTACTCACACTGTGAATGTCGAATGCATGGTATAAAACAGGGGTGTTGTGCCAAAAACTGTATACAATTTTGTCAAGCAATCAATATAAAGGTGATTTCAATACCCTTTTGTATATCCCTTGGAAACGACGTTCGGATCTTGTAATACATCATTGTAATGTTCGCGTAATTTAGTTGATGCAGTGGGTTGTACAACATGCGCCCCTGTGGAAATCATCATCCGGTTCTTCTACTTTCTAATCAAAATATCACCAGCTTTGAATACTTGTGAGTTGTGAACGAGTTTGAGTTCGTCTAGAGCCAGAAGGGCGTTATTTCTGTGTTAAAGTATATGGGTTAAGGCCCTTCTGGCTCCAAACAGACGAGTTGGTATTTTTTGCACTTTAACAAAAATATTAATCCCATATTATCAAATGCATGTTGTTTATATAGCAATAGTTTTAAGAATTTAGGTAGCTTGCCCAGAAACTAGAACAGACATCAATTTGATTAAGCAATTTCACTTTCAAGGTCTGGTTAGGTTTCATCCATAACGAATACGCTCACTAAATCGTGCCCCAAACGCTCCTGAAAGCGCTCCTGAAGACTTACCTGCACCAAGGGCTCAGGCGTATTAATACGTCCTTTCCGACCGTGGATCACTCTATAGCGATGGCAGACGAATGCAAGCAAACCAATGGCAACAAGAAGGAGAAAGGCAATGGGCAGGGCGAGGGCGAGAATGTCTTCTGTTCATCCAAGCGTGAACGCATACCACACGAATATGATACAAAATGATTTGGGATAAAACACTTTTTCATAAGATGTATAATAATTTACTGTTCATAGATGATTTTTAAAATAATTAGCAATTTTCTAGGTGTAAACTTTTTGTTGGACTCACACTGCACAGTGTACACTCCCCACTATATTGGGGAGCATTTTATCTTGTTGCCTTTACGGACAATGCACATGTATGCTAATAATAAATGCTTTACCGATATCATGCAGGAATGTTTTGACATTATTTAATCCTAACTGGCGTTGCATGCCTTTGTTCTTAAAGCCTCATTGAGCCACTTAATCCTACCTAAAGAGAAAATCAATTACAGTGAAAAAAAATTGTCTGGTATAAGAATAATGATAATAATGTTGGCTTATTATAAAGCGCAACAGATCCGTCAGGCATGACTCTCATGGCGCCACACATACAAATGCGAATACAAAAGAAGCAATTTTCTAGGTGTTAACTTTTTTTGACTCACACTGTATAGGCACAAATCTATAGGCACCAACTGACAAAAGAATTGTTTTCTGCAACACAATGCTTTGCAGGGATAGCCATTTATAATCTTCATTAGCTCAGAACGCAAAGGAAGGGAATGTCATTCCAGCAGCTAACTAGAGCAGCTGAAGACTTATTTATTATAGAGAACCTGTGTCTCAAGATCCATTTCTATATATTTATGTATCGCCCCACCGGCGTCTAAGCTATGGGACACAAATGGGACATATAGACAGACGGTCAGTTAGTGATAAAGATATAATAGTTTTAGTTGTCAACGGTTAACTAATATGGGAGCCTATGGTATATGCAGGCGCGTACGCAGGGGGGGGGGGGTGGGAGGGTTGGGGGTTGAACCCCCCCCCCCTTTTAACTTTGTTTTATGTGTGTGTTTTTGAGGACCCCCCCCCCCCCCCCCATTTTTTTTTTTTTTTTTTTTGTATTTAAAAAATAATAATAAAAACATTAAAAAAACAAAAAATTGTGGTAATGGGTGACCCCAATGAGCTAACCTTACCCCCCCCCCCAACCAAACGAAATATCGATCGGCCAAATTTTCAAATATTGGGACACCAAAAAGAATATTTTAAAATTTTCCTCTTACCCACCCACCCCCCCCCCCCCCCCCCCCCCATGTAATGCGTAATGCGTGTATATAACGAATATAGGCGAGTTCATCTCGAATTGCAACGAATCGGGGGGAAAATTTGAACATGTTCAAAATTTTGGAACTGCTCGCGACTTCGAGGAGAGTCTTGGAATGTTGTAAAGAGTTACGCTAAGCCATACCGAATTATCGCGAGTTATTGCGATTGCCTCTTTGAGGCAACTCACCACAACTCGGCTAAGTGGGAGCCCTGCTTTAGAATTCTTATGTCAAACCTCTAGACAAAGGTAAAACGTTCCTGGGCGGTGGTCATCAAATTAGGTGATCGAAAATTTAAAAACTCGCAAACATGACTCTTGGTACACTGGTTACTAACTTTCAGGTTTAGTCAAATGAATAATAAAAAAAAAACGGTCTGTAGACGAAATATTATGGTAGCCTTATCGATCTTACGGATGATTTCACGAACGTTGAACAAAATGAGATTTGTAATCGTTAGAAACTCAAATTTTAAAAACTCGTATAAAGGCTTGTACGGATAATGTTTAAAATACAGTGCGTCATCAAAATATGCACTTACATCAGATGTACTATATTACACGTATACAAAACCAAATGTAGCTTTTGATACAACGTCGTTCATAGGAAATGGACAAATCTTTCCAAAACAAACATAATAATGAAGTTAATCTGGTAATCTAAAGAAAAGTGAAAGTGACATAATATTAACAAAGTAGTTTATACCTATTGAGCAGTTCATTCCGCTGTAACGGGTAGCACATGAACAGCTATAAGAGTTGACACCATCTGTACATGTCCCACCATTCAAACAGGGCTGAGAAGCACACTCGTCAATATCTACAATGGGAACATATTTTGAATTATTGTGTGTTTTATTTAATGCTATTTATTTCTTCCTTTGTTTATGGTAACACTTTATAACATCAAATAAAATTAACCTAAAGGGGCTAAATTGCAATGAAAACAAAAATATTTCGCTTTTTGAAATATACAAAAGGGCACCGACATGACGTCATGTAACAATTATGGCATCATAACGTACGCCTACTTTTCTAGAAACCAAATGTAAATCTACATGTTTGCGAAATTTCAAGAAGATAGAGCATGTTTTTGATACAACTTTGTAGACAAAAGGGGGGATAAAGACTTTCAAAAACAATTTCTGACTCATTAAATGTTGTGGTCTTCAAATAATCAAAACACTCCTCTTGAAAATAATATTAAAAACACTTACCTGTTGCAAAAAATAATATACAAAATATTTTAAATGAACAATTCACTGATCATTATCCACTAATATTACAGTCGATGCGTACATATACAGTACTAAACATAAAACCCCGAAAAGCGTTCTTAGCTTTTTGATCACTTTGTTTTATGAGCATCGTTAGGACCATGACCATTCCGCATAGGACGTTCTTCAATGTCTAATTACCTGGACTTCTGTAACAACCGATTTTATTTCACCCTTCATTGTTATCTACTTTACATTCAGAATGTACCCCACCCCTATTTGCACATGCTTTTGTCATGTCTGTTGATCTTTTTAATTGTGGTTTATTCTACACTACTGTCGCAACGATTACTCTTCTTTACTTTTCAATATTTTGGAAAATAATTTCAGTCACTCTCTTTTATAGTATGCATGTAATGTCTTTATGTTATTTGAGTTATGTCAAACCTCCATAATGATACAAAGGTAACAGGTTTATTCACATATTTCTGTTCCTGACGATGGTCATGAAATAAGGTGGTCGACAATTTGAGAATTCTCAAACATGACTATTATTAATATTTCTGTTTAATACTGTAAATACACTGGTCAGTAATTTTTAATTTAAAAATGCGAGAAAACCAATGGCAACAAGAAGTAGAAAGGCGATGGGCAGGGCGATGGCGAGAGTGGTTGTTATGTCTACTGTTCATCCAAGCGTGAACACATACCACACGAATATGATACCAAATGATTTGGGATAAAACACTTTTTCATAAGATGTATAATAATTTACTGTTCATAGATGATTTTTTAAATAATTAGCAATTTTCTAGGTGTAAACTTTTTTACACTGCACAGTGTACACTCTCCACTCTATTGGGGAGCATTTTATCTTGTAGCCTTTACGGACAATGCACATGTGTGCTAATAATAAAAGCTTTACCGATACCATGCAGGAACGTTTTGACATTATTTAATCTTAACTGGCGTTGCATCCCTTCGTTCTAAGCCTCATTGAGCCACTTAATCCTCCTTAAAGAGAAAATCAATCACAGTGAAAAATTATTGTCGGGGATAATAATAATGATAATAATGTTGGCTTCTTTTAAAGCGCAACAGGTCCGTTAGGCGTGACCCTCATGGCGACTTACATACAAATGCCAATACAAAAGAAGGTGTAGGTGTAAACTCTTTTTGACTCACACAGTATAGGCACAAATCTATATGCACCAACTGACAAAAGAATTGTTTTCTGCAACACAATGCTTTGCAGGGATAGCCATTTATAATCTTCATAAGCTCAGAATGCAAAGGAAGGAAATGTCGTTTCAGCAGCTAACTAGAGCAGCTGAAGACAGAAAATTATAGAGAACCTGTGCCTCAAGATCCATTTCTATATATTTAATTATCGCCCCACCGGCGTCTAAAGCCTCTGTCACACCCTTGCGTATGTTGCTGCGTATTGTGCGCTCTGCGGGGTATATCAATACGCAGCCGTGCCCAGCAATACGCAGCAAATTTGAAGGTAGCAGTCACATTATTGCGTATCTAGCTCGTAGGTAGCTCGTACGCCGCTCGTACAAAGACTGCCTACGGTTGCGTATGGCCACGCTATAGTTGCTCATAGCAGTACGATTCAATACGCAGTTTGCTCGCCATGTTGCGTATGTAGCTCGCACCAGTTGGTCTCGACGCGTGTTCGCTCGCTCTAGCTAGTCTGTTGTTCGTTCTGATGCGTGTCGGCTCGCGCTACAGCGTACCAGCTCGTTCGGGCTGTGGCATATGTAAAAATACTAGTCATTTTGCGGGACTGGGCATAAACATCTTAGGTTCTGACAATTCTACATCTACAAGAAAAATAAATCTGATAAAATAATGTCCCTAAAGCAGAGCTTAAGCTTTTAGTTCAGCTGGAAGAAGAGAGGCGAATGAAGATTATGAGCAAGGGAAGCTGCTGAATGAGCTGCTTCAACGAAGTATCCCGTTGGAGTTGTTGGATGTGGTCCTGGATCTACCGGAGGAAGGACCAGGGACAATTCGACCAACTGATGAGGGTGCTGGAAGACGAGGACCAAGAGGCATTCACAAACGTTTTGAGGCTTACCCCTGAAATATTTAAAGAGTTTGAGCAGAGACTACATGAAAGACTGGAGAAGTGGGACACCTTCAGAAAAACCCTCTCGCCCGTGCTGAAGCTGGCCAGGGTGACAGCTACAAGACACTCGTGTAAAGCTTCAGGGAAGCCCACAATACCATTTCCCTCATAGTACGTGAGGTATGCACTGCCATCATTGAGGAATACGGTGATAAGCTGGTGAGGTGACCTACCAGCCCACATGAATGAAAAGCAGTCGCACAGGGCTTCGAAGACCGCTGGAATTCTCCCCAAACCTTGATGCTTTGGACGGCAAGCATGTTGCAATCAAGTGCCCTGAGGATAGTGGGTCAATATTTTACAACTACAAGGGTTTCTACTCTATTTTACTCATGGCCCTGGTCGACGCCAAGTACAAATTGGTGTGTAGAGATGTCGGATACGAAACCTCTGATGCACAGCTCTTCAACTTGTGTGAACTAAAACAACGTCTTGAATCTGAAAACTTTGGAGTGCCTCTGCAAGAGCCAAAATCCAACGATGATGAAGACACCCCTACTTCTTTGTGGCAGACGAGACCTTCGCCATGATGACATGGCTAATGAAGCCGTACGCAAGGAGGGCTATGGCTAGACAAGAGAGAATTTACAACTACCGGCTGTCCTGGGCAAGGAGATTGGTGGAGAATGCTTTTGGCATTCTTAACATTAGGCAAGCTTCTTCTCTTGGTCACTTGAGAAATTGACTAGGTCTTTCCGCAGCTTCTTCACCACGTTCGTCTCCTCCTGTTCACCCAGCGATGGTGACTCCGTGGCCGGCGGGGGCGATGGGACCTAGGCGGCTCGACTGGCTTCGTCCTCGTCGTCACCCCCCCCCCCCCCCCCCTTTTCGCTTTGGATTTAGGCATCTTCTTGTTCAGTAGTTGTATATTCTTCAAATGTTGACTGCGGTATGATTCCAACCCGTAAGGCGCCCCGCCTTATATTTCCGATACGCAGCGCAAAGGCAACTAATCGCAGCGATGTGCGAGCAACAGCGCAACAATACGCGCAATCGTGCGTATGGACACGAGCTAAAGCGAGGTAAATCGTGCAGGAAACGCAGCTAAACGTGCTCCGAAAAAGAGGTGCGTATGATTGCGTTAACCTGCGCTAAGCCACTCGCTGTCGCTCGCATTCACTCGTTGCCACTCGTATCCGGTCGTATGCTATTTGACCTTGCGTTTGCTTGCGATAGTTTAGAAAATGTTAAACTAGCGAGCGACCAACGCAGGCATATGCGCTAGTCTGCGTATTGAGTACGTAGTGAGCACGTTGTATTGCGCGTTATTGGGTATGACTGCCTTTGTCTGCGTTCGGGTAATACGCAGCAATACGCAAGCCAAATACGCAAATGGGACATATAAGGCGGTGTCACACAGAGCCCCAAAATCCGGATTTTAGTTATCCGGTTTTTAATTATCCTCTTTTTGGCTGTCTGACATCAATTATCCCTTAAAAAATCCCTTCAAATATCCCTTCAAAAGTCCTCATATGAAGCAAGGTAATTCTCTCTTGAAAGGATTTTTCAAGGGTTTTTTAAAGGGATTTTTCTGTCTGACACCAATGTTGAAATAATCCCCTTTAAGGTCAGTGTAAAGTCAACACGCTATCAATGACCCGCGCACAATTATATTAGCGCGCATTTAATGAGACGTGTTACTTTGTGATGTCACAATGCTTATCTACCTAAACGGCGCGTGCGCAATGGCCCATCAAGAATCTGGATTTTAGTTATCCGGATTATTCGTAGCCAGTCTGTCACCGACGTAAATGAAAAAACTAGATTTCTAGAATCTGGTTTATTCAACAAGGGTCGGGATTTTTCTGTGTGACACCGCCTATAGACAGTCGGACAGATAGTGAGATAGATATAATAGTTTTAGTTTTCAACTGTTAACTAATATGGAAGCCTATGGTATATGTATCCCACGATAAATACTACGCGACACGAAGAGATTATTTTTGGGCTATATTAAGTGTAACATTACGGGTAAAAAATAGGTCGGACAATCACTATCCCTTGTTTAACTTAGGTTTAAAAGAAACATACCTCTTTTACAACCGGCGGAAGTGTTTTCACAGTCTGCAAAAATAATAGATAAAATATTTTAATTGTACAATACACTAGTCAGTATCCAGTGTTTCCACAGGTGATGCATACATACGGAACTAAACAGAAAACCATGATAAGAGTCATGTTTGCGAGTTCTCAAATATTTCAACCATTTTGTTTCATCGTTATAGTACCTTGGACGTTCTTCACTGTCTAATTACCTGAACTTTTGTAACCGCCATTTCTATTTCACCCTTCATTGTTATCTGCTTTACAACCCCACCCCTATGTGCACATACCTTTGTCATGTTTCACAATCTGTTAAGTGAAGGTTCCCTTTTTAATTGTGGTTCATTCTACACTCTTATCACCATGATTTCTCTTCTTTACTTCTCAATATTTTGGCAAATACGTCCAGTCGCTCTCTTTAGTATATTGCATTAATATTGATATGTTGTAAGAGTTCTGATGTCAAACCTCTAAACAAAGGTAAAACATTCCTGGGTGGTGGTCATCAAATTAGGTGATCGAAAATTTAAAAACTCACAAACATGATTCTTGGTACACTGGTCACTAACTTTCAGGTTGAAATGAATACAAAAAAACGGTCTGTAGACGAAATATTATGGTAGCCTTAGCGATCTTACGGATGATTTCACGAACGTTGAACAAAATGAGATTTGTTATCGTTAGAAACTCAAATTTTAAAAACTCGTATAAAGGCTTGTATGGATAATGTTTAAAATACAATGCGTCATCAAAATTGCACTTACAGCAGATGTACTATATAACACGTATACAAAACCAAATGTAGCTTTTGATACTACGTCGTTCATAGGAAATGGACAAATCTTTCCAAAACAAAACATAATAATGAAGTTAATCTGGTAATCTAAAGAAAAGTGAAAGTGACATAATATTAACAAAGTAGTTTATACCTATTGAGCAGTTCATTCCGCTGTAACGGGTAGCACATGAACAGCTATAGGAGTTGACACCATCTGTACATGTCCCACCATTCAAACAGGGCTGAGGAGCACAGTCGTCAATATCTACAATGGGAACATATTTTGAATTATTGTGTGTTTTATTTCATGCTATTTGTTTCTTCCTTTGTTTATGGTATCACCTTATAACATCAAATAAAATGAACCTAAAGAGGCTAAATTGCAATGAAAACAAATATTTCGCTTTTTGAAATAAACAAAAGAGCACCGACATGACGTCCTGTAACAACTATGGCATCATAACGTAGGCCTACTTTTCTCGAAACCAAATGTAAATCTACACGTTTGCGAAATTTCAAGAAGATAGAACATGTAGCATTTGATATAACTTTGTAATTGAAGACAAAAGGGGGGATAAAGACTTTCAAAAACAATTTCTGACTCATTTAATTATGTGGTCTTCAAATAATCAAATAATCACTCCTCGTGAAAATAATATAAATAATTGACTACACACAAAAAGCGGAACTAAGTATGGTGAGTAAAAAAATTCATAGCTCAATCATTCAGTCGAGAGAATATATCTAATAAATGCATTATTTTACACATTTGGTGAATACACCACCTTTCTCTGAGTGAAATTTTACACACATGATATTTAAAACGAGTTTGTGACCCGATTATTTTCTCGATGAGTCTTTTTACTCAAGACATTAAAGTACATGTAAGTTAATATTGGATGAGTATTCTCCAACTTTAGTGACCGAATGAGTGAAAATATTCACAAGTGTGTAGAGTGGCTTTTTGCTCCCTAATTTTTCACAGACTCTTTATTCGTTGGATGAGTAAAAAAAAAAAAACCTCGGTCTCTTCGAAGCTGTACTCGTCTTAGGAGCTATCTTACTCTTTGCATATTCGTACGCGTTCGTGATCGTACGTACGTACCCGGTCGTCACGTTTTTAGCGGCCGACGAGCCACAGAATAAGTGTGAGTAAATTAGATTTTTCTTAATTTTCAATCAGTTAGTAGTAAGGGGATCCCTTGAATTTTATTCAGACCTTTTCTATAACAAGTTAAGGATACCGATTACATATAGAATCTAGATCTAGTGCTAAAATTTTGAAGCTCTTCTTGTGCACGACCGAAGTGTATGGAGTGCATGGCAAAGGACTTCCATTTTTACAGTCACAATTTTACTTTATAATTCTCGTTCGAGAATATATGAGAACCCGCCCTGTGCGTTATTAATCTCAATTTAATGAGTAATTGCATTCAGTTAAATGTGTCAATATAGTGTCAAAGTTTATTTGCCTATTTGAGTAAGATTACCCAAATATTTCTTTGTGTGTACACACACAAAAACGGAACTAAGTATGGTGAATAAAACTCGTAGCTCACTCATTCAGTCGAGAGAATATATCTAATAAATGCATCATTTTACACATTTGGTGAATACACCACTTTTCTCTTAGTGAAATTTTACACACATGATATTTTAAACGAGTAGGTGACCCGATTATTTTCTCGATGAGTCTTTTTACTAAGTATTAAGCTGAAGAAGAACAGGGAATTCGTATTTTTTAGAGCGTAAAGATGATTGATTAAAGTAATCTTGTATTGAATAGCAGATCCATGGACACAATAAAATGAAAGCAAATTTTTTTTTTAAACTTTGCATTGACTCATGAGCTGAACTGAATTTAAAGATAAAGGTGAGTTTTGCAAGGTTCTGGAGCCATCAAAATCATAATAAATTTGGACCAGTCTTGGTAAAGTAACAAGCACTGCACACAGAAAAATGTATGTGGGACTACACAAATCGTGTCGGGGTTACTCATTTTGATTTCGTTATCTTTCTATGCTAATACTCAGCCAGTATGCATTTTCTAACACAATTGTTTGGCAAATGACATTTATTTGTAATCTTCAACATTCAGTGTAATAGTGTGGTACGGTATGTCACTGAGACAGCTCCCGTAGGATTTTTGTGCCAAAGTTGATTTTTTTTTGTTGCTGTTTTGGCTTCAACAGGGTCCCAATTGACCAAAAATGATGGGGTGCAAATTTTCAGACCCCTCCTTCATTTCCTTGGGGGTCCTAGACCGGGAGCCAGTGGGGGTCAACCTAGCTGGGCAGGAAACCAATTGTAATATGCACAGATGTAAAGATCGCATAGCTCCACATAACAAATTGACCGTCTGGCATGTTCTAAGTGGTGAGTGTGGCCAGGGGGACGCCCCCACCAAAAAAGTGTCCCTTTTGACAACAAAATAGTATTATGTAAATCATATTTTAAGGAAACCTTGAACCACAATGAGTTATGTGTCATATGAAAGAGAGTTAAATTATTTACATTTCGATTCCAATTTTGAAGAATTCGGGATTAATGAACATCGCAAATTTAAGTAAAAAACATGATTTTTGTGATTTTTTTCGAAAAATGTAATTTTATAAAAAAACATGATTTTCCATATATCAAAATCGGAGAATTACATTTTTTCATAACTTTCCAGGAATTTGCATATGTACAACGATAATATCCTGTGCGAGGGAGAGGTTTATATATTATTTCAATAAAAAGTTATAGCAATCCAAAGTTATTGATTTGATATCCACAAAAACAACATTTTTGCCTACATGTGTAATAACTGTATGCATATACGTGCATTAGTGTACTAATGACCTGTTTGGTGTGTTTACATCGAGTTTTAAAGATAACTTGGAACTAAAACCTCTAATCACCATGTATTTGGGGTCAAAAGATGGATAATTAAAATACCTTCATTCTGATATCACTTTTAATGAGTGATGTAGTGTGTGAAATATAAATTTTGAGCCAAAAAGGTGCTTTATTGTAGATATTCCTCTGATTTTTGCCAGTTTATCAGTATATTAACTGGACAAACGTGATTAGACATTTAGTAGTGCAGAAAGTGCAACAGTTTGGGATTGGGGGAGGGGGCAAACATTCCAAGGGGCTCACCTTTCAGGGGCAGTGGCGTAATGAGCGAAAACGTTTTTGGGGGGCAGAAGAAAAATCTGCACCACCATCACTCTTACACATTACATGCCGGCCCCGTGGAACGTTTTTCTAAGTGGAGTATTAACGATCAGGTAGAGCGAAGCGAGTGCACCGTAAATTGGCGTGGGGTCCAGTGTCTTTGCCCCGGCGGGGTCAATGGGCGAAGCCCTCGGAAGCTGCACGGGTTTCAGGCATTAAATACGGTCAGATAAGCATATTTAGATACCTTATTTGTGACACTGCCATGTCACTTATTGAAGTAGGGTCCAAGGTGTGGAGCCCCCGGAAGCTCAGGGGTTTAGGTATTTAATTACGGTCAGAAGAGCATATTTTGATACCTCATTTGTGACACTGGCAGGTCACTCATTCTTTCTTTCTTTCTTTTTCTCTTTAACATACTTTTTCAAAAAAGTGAGGAGGGCTCGAGCCCTACCGTTCTGCAGGCCCTGACATGAATGCTTCTAAATAATCATATTTGTTTGCCTACTTCTAAATTTGGGAGACTTGTCATTTTCCAACAAAGGCATACAAAAGTATAATTTACCTCCCAAAAAGAGAAAAAATCACAGAAAATCTTGTCATTTCAGCAACATGTTCAAAAAGACCATATGATTTATGCAACAGGCATGATAGAACTCTAATGTAGACGGTGATGTGTTGTCAAAATTATACGCTGGTACCTAATGACATTTTACAATCATCAAATCGTGAGATCCTTTATAGAAGTTTAAGGAGTTAGTAACGATTTTAAATTATTTATGGCTAAGCAGGAAAGATTTTAAATTGATCTCAATTGTAGTTCTGGAACTTCCTATTTGAAACACACAAAGACTAAAACTGAGATTCAATCGAATCAAGTAGTTTCATAATGTTCCTTTGATTTTTGTACCGAATTACTTGTAATCGAGAGAAAAAATAACTTTGCATACGTAGCCGAAACTATTTTTTGAGAAAAGTTTATGTCATTCTAATCTTATCACAATAGGAATTATGCGGAGTATTGGTTGCTTTAAGCATACACATGTTTTCTTAGTAGTCAGGCAAAATAAACCATTAAACCAAATATGGCGATATTATATTATATTCATGTTGATCGATGCACTAAATTGTCTTGGGCATTGGCAATATTATGACAAGCGGCTGGAAGGGGCGGGGTGGGGGTGGGGGGGGGGAGGCAACTGTCAATGCCAACATTTCCTGAAACGTCCCAGAGTACAGGAGAAGAACTTATCAATTGCACTCAGCGCTCTAAATCCTTTGAACTTTCTGCAATACTAAATGCCTAATCACTTTTGTCCAGTTAATATACCGATATACTGGCAAAAATCAGAGGAATATCTACAATAAAGCACCTTTTTGGGTCAAAATTTATATTTCACACACTACATCACTCATTGAAATTGATATCAGAATGAAGGTATCTTAATTGTCCATCGTTTGACACCACATAGATGGTGATTAGAGGTTTTAGTTCCAAGTTATCTTTAAAACTCGATGTAAACACACCAAGCAGGTCCTTAACACACTAATGCACGTATATGCATACAGCTATTACACATGTAGGCAAAAATGTTGTTTTTGTGGATATCAAATCAATAACTTTGGATTGCTATAACTTTTTATTGAAACGATATATAAACCTCTCCCTCGCACAGGATATTTTCGTTGTACATAAACAAATTCCTGGAAAGTTATGAAAAAATGCAATTCTCCAATTTTGATATATGGAAAAATAATGTTTTTTTATAAAAAAATAAAAAAATTCGAAAAAATCACAAAAATCATGTTTTTTACTTAAATTTGCGATGTTAATTAATCCCAAATTCTTTGAAATTGGTATCAAAATGTAGATAATTTAACTCTCTTTTATATGACACATAACTCATTGTGGTTCAAGGTTTCCTTAAAATAGTATTTACAAAATTCTATTTTGTCGTCTAAAGGGACACTTTTTTGGTGGGGGCTTCCCCCTGGCCACACCCACCACTTAAAACATTCCAGACGGTCAATTTGATATGTGGAGCTATGCGATCTTTACATCTGTGCTCATGAAAATTGGTTTCCTGCCCAGCTAGGT